CATTTCTTAAGCTATATTTATGAGCTAGCAGAGCAAAATGGCTCCTAACAACAGTTACTGGTTCTCATTATTGACTTCTATCAAAGCTGCGGCATAAAGAGGGCATTCCCTGAAATATCATTTCCTTTAACCTTAGCTTTGCACGTGTGCTCTATGTGTGTGCATGTATATATATACAAGCATGCAAATAGATAAAACAGACACAGGAAAACTCAATATTATTTATTCTCAACATTGTTCACACACAGGTTTCAGATCACAAATTTAAAAATAGTGAAAATGCATCAATAAAACTACCTGCATTACTTTGTGTGATTCAGTCTTATATGAACTAGTCACTATTTGAACTGGGTAAAGACGGATGCTGTCAGTAACATGTTGATGTTTTTATTATCTGTTGCTGTACTCGCCTCTTCCCAGCCTTTAGATAGCATATTGTCTGCTTCACATCAGCCTCAAACACAAAGTGAGTCAGATTTTCTGCTCCAGATTAAATAATTCAAATAAAGCATATTTCCTAAATCTTTTCCAGATATTTTGGTTGTTCTCAGTTGTTTACTTGATTACATGTATCAGACCAGATGATGTAATCAAAGGTTCAGTTTCTCTATAAGCTCAACGCTGATGTTCCTGTTAACAGGCCTAACATGAATAAAACACACAGCAGAATGAAAACAAATGAAAAACTTATTTATATAGGAAAATATTAGAAACTGATAACATGACTCACAAGGAATAAACTCAACAAATTAAGTAATCATTAAAAAAAACTAACAAAATATACCTTAGGATTATGGAGAACAAACATATAAACACAATAAAACATGTAAACTAAAAGGCTGAGTTACTTTTTCAAGAAAAAACGAAAATAAAAATTATTCCTATTTATTTATTCTCTTAACAAATCTGGTAGCAGTAGAAATCTCTCCTAAATATAATCCTCAAAAACACTCATAAAATAAAGATGTAACGCGCAAAATGCAATGTCATTACATTCTCCTTCTATTCATGATGGTTTTTACATTTTGTATTATTATTGTTGAGCAAATTACATCTTATTCCATCTGGCATTTTTAACAGATCATATGTTCTTTTTTTATTAAAACATCTAAAATCATGGTTTATGTTATGCAGTGAATTCAACCAGCTTTGTTATTAAAATGCTGTTATGATATTCTCAAAGGGACATTCATTTAAAAATACAGATTTACAAATTACACAAGATAAAACAATAACTAATATTATACATGACTTTAATTTACAGTCAGACTTCCTGTGGTTCAGTTGGATGAGGTTCTGCTGTTCAGTCGTCACTCTGTGAAAACAAACATTTTCAAACTCTTATTCAGTTTTGTTTTTACAAACTGACATATTAAACTGGTATTGTTAAACTTTAATATTGTTACTTTTAAATTTAAAACGTGATTTATTTATACCTTAGCAAATGTCAGTTTCTACAGAAACATTTCAACCTTTTTACAGATGAACAGCGCCACCAAGTGGCCAAACTACCAATCAGTAACCATTACACTTCATTCACAGAGACAAACTCAGCTCACCAGAGTTACAGCTGCAGCGCTGCAGGGTCGTCACATCCTGCCTGTAAATGTTTTAATAGATGTTTGAGGGAAGCAGGAGGACAGTCTCCACTGAGACAGAATAACTCTGTGATTCATTATTTTAGCAGAAGCAGATATTTAACAAACCGTCTCTGTTGTTCAAACTGGACATCTGGATCTGCTCCTCTGGAAAATGACCAACAGGAAAAATCACACATTAATAGAAATGCTGTCTGGTAAAGACATTAAAATACAATTTATTGTTGATGAGCAGCAAACTTTTTGTTTTATTTACCTGAGTCTTCATCTTTTGATCTGTGGCAGCAGAAAAGAATTAATTTGTTGTGTTTTAGATAAAATGGACATAAAAATGTCTGAAAATGATTTTTATCTATGGTGAAGTTTACACTCAAATCAGCAACATAAACCCAAATCATCATCTCTGAAAATTCAGGCTTGACACTTGTAATGAGGTTTTATTCTCATAATAACCTGAGTTTAGTTTTTTTTTTTTTAAATGTCACATTGGCTAACACCTCAAGTATTTTTACTGTAGTTCAGTCGGATGTAGCTTTGCTAACCTAAACTGTGAGGCCACATTCATTTTTCCTTATTAACTATAATATCAGAAGATGAAAGCATTAAAACCAATAACCTTCCTGCAGGAAGCCATTAGTAATTATTTAAAATAGAAGCAGAGGCACACAGAAAACATTTAACTGATATTTTAATATTGTGGTTGTTGATTTTTAACCATCTTCATTGTGAAATTAACATTTTTATTGCTACTGGACTTCTTGTGTCCATATCCAAGACAATGTAAACCATAAAAATAACTGAGATTTTCAGAAGGCAGCAAACATTTATGCAACAACATTTATAAAATATGTTTTCCTACCTTTTTGAAAAACGTTTCCCTAGAATAAAAAGACAAATAACAGAAATATTTTTTTTGTACTGTGCCAAAGAATTTGTTTAATGTAGTTATTATTTAAGTAGATGTAGATGTAACTTGTGCATTAAAAGGTATTTAAATTCAACAGTTATTGCTATATAGTATTATGTTTCCATTCTTACCCAATCTGCTTGTACAACATTTCAGAGTCAATCCAAAAAGGACTAAAGATGTAATTCCAACTGCAATGAACCTCAAGATCATCATCACTGCATGAAGAGACAAAACAAGTTCAGCACTTATTTTATAAATAATCACATCTTCATAATCAAGGAATATTTAAATATTACAGGACACTAAAGTTGTTCCATATGTCTTTAATATTTATTGTTTCTTTTAGGATGTGAACTGTTTATTTTTATGGTATTCATTGTGAAGCTCAAATAATTGATTTCTTTCCAACTACTGATAAAAAGGTGACTTTTAGATTCATAGAAATAAATTTCTTACATCCTGATGTAATAAAAACTGTTGTTCAGAGTCAGATCCTACCAGTGGACACTGGGAAAGCTGGGACGACAGTCTGGGATGCTGTCCAGTCTTTCTGGACGGGGGTCAAAGGTTGTGTGAGCAAATCTGACTCACTTACATTGGTTCTGTCTGGAGGAATGAAAACCCAAACCATTCAACTCAAGTTATATAGTTTAAAAGGCATATATGTTAAATAATAAATTATGTACATGAACTTCTCCAGAGAAAGTAATAAAAGATGTTCATAATAATACAGTGTTTAATGTTTGGTTTTTAGCAATGGGAGGTATTTTAGAAAATCCTAATCCACAAAGAGAAATTAAGTCTAATGTAAAATCAGGTAGAGAGAGGTTTGCAGTCCATGTAAACATCTGGTTTTAAATATCTATATTAAAATTTGTGTGATGCTCTAAACATTTAGTCAAGACAGAAAAGCAAAAAACAGAAATCTGTAAGAGGAAAAATACTTTTTCACTGCTATAATAATGTGTAAATTATAGCAAGGTGTAACACATAAAGCAGCTTCTAAGTGTTAATGTTATTAAAAGAAAAAGTATCAGAATCATTAAACATTTTCATAACATGATCCAAGTGGATGAACTGACCTGGTGCCTCTGATGTTGATGGTGACAAAGTAGAAACTGAGCCTGAAGTTTTGACTGTGGTTCTTTCACTTGGATCTGAAGAAAATAAAGTAAAACAAAACATTTTTCATGAATTTCATTTTTCAAAGGTTGAAGCTGACGATGTTTCAGAAGTTTTGACTGACCTGTCGGAGCAAATAATGTAGGATTCACTGATGCTGGGGGAGGAGAAAATGGACTTTCTGTTTTCACTGTTGTCCTAAATGTTTCACCTGATGGATAAAGACAAGGCAGCTAGAAAATACAATTATATGTGTTTAATAATGTCTGGTCTTTGTGTTAGAAAGCATATATTACCTGCAGTCACTCTGACAGTGGTTACTCTCTGAGATGTGGTTGAATCTGTTTCCTGAACTTCTGCAATGGCAGAGGAAACATTTATGTGACAAATAAAAATGTGTGATACCAAAATTATATGACCCTTGTTTTCTGTCAACGGTCAGAAAACAAAACTTTATAAAGCTGAAATTATATTAACAAAACATAATTGACAGACTAACATATATTTTACATTTAAAGGTAATTGATCATAGAGAGAGTTTTTAACTCACTCTGGATGGAGACTGAAGTCGTGTCACTGTGTGGAGACTGATGCGTTCCTCCACCTGGACTCTTCACATTGTAATAACATTTTAGTTCAACCTCAGCAGGTGAAGTTTGAAATGTCATCATCAGGAGCTCACTTCCTGTCAGTGTCTGCTCACAGGAAATGCTTTTGGATATCTTTGATTTTATGAAATATAAAAAACAATTCTCCACAGAAACAGATGAAGGAGTCCCACAGTTCACTGTGACTGAGTCTGTCTCTGTGATCTGCTGTGGATTCACAGTCAGTTCAGGTGGAGGAACTGAAAACATAAACAAGATTAAATAGTTTAACATCATAATAATCTGTAATAGTTCATCACAGCTGTTTTTACTCACGCTGTATGATGATGGTGAGCAGGTTACTCTTTGGAGATTGATATAAACTCAGGTAAAAACATGTTACATCAATGTTAGCTGGTGAACTTTGTTTGGTTAAAGACAGGAGATCAACTCCTGTCAACGTCTTCAGACAAGAAAATCTTTGGGGTATTTTTTCTCTCCCAATGTAGAAAAAACAATCAGTCACAGGAAAAGATGGTGGAGGCTGACAGTTTAACGTGACTGAGTCTGACTCTGTGATCACCTGAGGATTCACTGTCAGTGACGGAGGAGGAAGATCTGAAAATATGAACACAGTAAAGTTACACATATGATGGATGTCTAGCACAGCCATATTACAATAATCTTCCTCAACAGAAACTCAGATCAGAATAAGATCCCCTATTAAATTAGGCTGAATATCTGTTTACTCACTGTTAATGGTGATCCCTGTTGATGCACTGCCTAATGATTGAGCTCCATCCTTTAAAGTGTAGACACATTTAACTTTGACATCAGCTGGTGATCTTCTATTTAAGATCCTCAGCATCTCAGATCCTGTCAGTTTTTTCACACAGGAGGCGTCTGAAGACATCTTGTTGTTTTCAATGTAGAAATCACACCGAGACACAGAAACATGTGGTGGAGCCGAACAGCTTAATGTGACTGAGTCGGTTTCTGTCATCACAAGTCGATCCACCGTTAGGTGAGGTTGAGGAAGAGCTGAAAGTTGATTTTCAAAATAGTTGATTAAACAATAATATAGTAAAAACAGTAAAATTTATATTAACACTGACCTTCAGCTTTGGTCCCATAAAGGGAATCTGATAAATAAAATGTTGAAAAGGAGACAAAGAAGCACCAAGATTTAAACATGAGAATATTTGCCTTGCTTGATGGCAAAGTGCTTTGGATCATTTCAATAATAAAGTAATTTACTGCAGGATAAAGAAATCTATACTCACTGAAGAGGATGAAGAACAACAGCTGTGCAGCCATGATGATGCCATTGATGCACTGATACAGACGTGTTCCTGTTTCAACTTTCACCCACATTAGGTTTCAAAAGCTGTTTCAAGAAAAACGTCCACATTATCTGAAATGGACACTCCTACTGACCATAGTGGCACAATCCAGACATCAATCCAATTGTGGTTTGGGCTGAAGAACTGAAAGTTTAGAGATATTCATGAACCACTTGGCCACATGCACATGAGCAGTAAGAGTCATTAGACGTGGAGCAACAATGTTTGCTTAATTTCTATTCGTTTTGGCAACGTTTAACTAGATTTTACTGTTTAACCCTCCTGCAGTTTTAGCTTGACGCTCAGGAAGAGGGCAGCAGATGTCACGGTCAGCCAACCGGTTTACCGTCTGCTCCTCAGAAACCACAAAAAACAATAACCTTTTACACAATTTTCAGATGTACTATGCTTTTCTCAGTTTTTTTCTCCTAATAACCCAAATTATTGCTGTTAATATTTGACTGTAACTTTACAAATGGGCAGCAGGCTAACACACGGGGAGCCGATTCAACTGATCACTTGTTCAGGAAATAAATGACAGATAAATTTAGGATGTTCAGATTAAAACTCAAAACTCAAAATGGTTATGTATTAATATTGTTATTTACAATTATTGTTGTCATTGGCAGCCATACTGAAAATTGTCACTGTCTATATGTTCAATCAATCAATCCTTTATTTATGGAACATTTTCATGTTCTAAGGTCAAATATAAAATATTAAGAGGCTTGTATATTGGTTTTCAACTTTTCTTTAAAGTTCTTTAAATTCAAGATGTAGATTAAATTGTATTATAAAAATATTCCATCTGAGCTGCTGGTCATCTTCTACATGAGCAGGATTCATCGGAGCCTGTCTGTCCATCACTGTTTTATTTGATTCGTCCATAAAACAAGAGAGGACCAAATTGCAATGAACAATAAAGTCTGCATCAGACCTCAGGATACAAAGTGTTTAATCAAGACTATTTAGATTAAAAAACGCAACAAGAAACAAACAGAACAAGATTTAATGATTGTCTAAATGTCCAGTTAAAAAGGCTGCCTAATTATAGTACAGGAAAGTTCAAATATTCTGAACAAACAGACTGCAAGAGTCTATTTGCTCATACAAATTATCAGACAGAGGTCAAAACTAAATAAAAATGTATTTATCAAGCACATTAAAAGCAATTTATTCTGACCAAGGTGCTCTACAAAGACACAGAAAGAAAGGTTGCCCTCATAAAATATGAGAAATCTCTGAAATAAACAGGTTGTGCTCTCTAAGCAGTGGCGGCTTGAATTAAAAGGCAAAACTGCCTCACTGACATGCATGCAGTCAAGCTGCACAGAGCTCTGCTGATGAGCTAATATTGGAGCCAGATGTGATGAAGCAGAGAGACGTCTAAAGGTTGCAGAACTCCGGCCGTTTGGGACTGGAGCCCGCCGCTCTACACCCCGTCACCCGTAGATAATGGAGGGGGGATGGTGTAGTACACACTGTCCACGTCAGGCTGGAAAACAAAAACACCAGGATGTTTTTACATTTATAACATTTACACACAAGTTAAGTTCACAAACATAATTTTGTTTTTGTGATCATTTTTTCGTACGTCTTCAGCTGAAGAATCTTCAAAGGTAGATTTATCAGAATCTGGAAAAAGTAGAAAATACAACATGAGTCAGTATCAGGTTTGACTGTTCGCTTTCTCTGATTATGAAGAACAAATCTGTCATTTCTGTAGCTATAAAAACAGCATAAATTACTTTTAGGAAATATTTTCTTGTAAATTGTATTTTAAATAAACTTCAAGTGGGAATCAAACTAAAGAAACTCACCTGTAGACCAGTCAGCAGCAGGTGCAGATGTGACAATACTGTAGATGGCGTCTCTTTGTAACTTGAAACAACAGAAAAGATATCAGTGGAAAATAAACAAAAAAATGCAACATAATGCAATGTGAATGATGCAAAAAACCGTTTATTTACCATCTCTGTGTTATCAATCATCTGTACAGACTGATCTACAACAGAGATTAACATGATTGATAAAACTGTAAAGACTAAATACAAGTTAATAGGACAAACAGTAGATATTTCAAGATCCTAGTTGTGTAGTACCTGCAATGTTGGTTTGTTTTCTATGCAAAAATAAAAAAGAAACAGATTTATTTAGTCAATTATAACACTAAGCAGCAAAGCAAAATCAGATTTGGACAAATTAAGAGTTTATTCCCTGACATGTGAGCATTTCAGAGAAAACTAAATGCAAAACCTTCTGATTTCTGAGGTCAAATTTACTTTAAAAACCCCCATTAAAATATGAATTAATTTTAAAGATAAAAATAGATCTAGCCATTAAGAAAGCTTTTAAACATCCATAAATTAAAGCAATATTAAGGAGGCCCACAGATCCACAAAGTCAGATAAACCAGTAACTTTATATTTCTCTCTGAGCTATCATAAACAGATTTATGTTTATTTATCAGAACCTGAATTTGATAAAAGAACAATAATAGAAAGTCTTACCTCTTCTGTGATTCATTTTCTGTACAAATAAAATGTAAACTGAATCAGATGACTTAGTTGTATTTAACCATTCACACACCACAACTCAAGACTTCAAATTCTGTTTCTATGCTGCTAAACATCCCTAATTTAATATTTAAAAAGCTTGTGTTCAGCAACACAATCTAAGTGTCTCTGCTCTAAATCTTATTTCTTAATTTAGAAACATCCTTAAACTCTAATCAAATATATTATATCTGTAGTACGTCACTGTAAGAGGTTTGATTTTATATTGGATTTTATTTGTATTTCTCAGCAGAGCCCCAGACAGAAACTTTTTAACGTCCTTTATTAAACAAAAGTTTCAGTGTTTCTCACCAGTCCTCCTTCTGGCTCTGAAACACGCTGCCACCATCAGAATGAAGATCACAATCACTCCACCCACAACTGGCGTGATTATTAAAGCCTTCATGTCTGTTTCAAAGGTCAGAAAGTTTCACTTTGACTTTCAAACCACAATCACTTCCTGCTGCTGCAGCTCTCATCATCCGACTTCAAGTCTCAAAAATCTGTCAGCTAATATTTTACTAAGATTTACATAAATAACAAAAACAAAAATATTAAATCAATTAGTGATTCAAGTGGAAAATAACTAAACTACAGACGACTATTATTCATATTACAACGCAGAGTGATGCACACAGCAGAAACCATCCAGAAAACATGAGCTTCTTTAAATTCAAGAGGTTATAAACCTTGAAATAGTCTAATATCTCACTGATATCAAAAAGCTGCATTTTAAAAAATACAAAACAAGGATAAAACAAAATAGACTATTTTAATACCGACAGTAAAACAAGAATCTCACCTATATTTTTGCCTTTAGCTTCATGATTTCCTGCTTTTTCTGTAATGGCCGCCACTTTATAACTGGAAGTGACACTTGAAGACACTAAAACAGAGATGAGATCAAATTAATATTTTAATGAAATGTACACCAGATGACACCTGCTTTTTAGAAACATCTTGAGAAGACATGTTTCTTTCTCTTTTTTCATTTAAAAATAAATTAAGTTCTGTGGTCGATCAAATGTCCTGTTAAAAAACATATTTGTGTTCAAATACAGGTCAAATAATGTAGGGTTTTCCCAATTAAATACAAAATATAAAGATCTATAAAGCATGACATGGTGTTATATTCAGAATTATGGCTCTGTCCTCTAACTGGGGGATTTCTGAAGACAACTGATCACAGGATTATATTTAAAAGAATTGATTAATCAGGGATTATTGGATTCTATCTGTAAATAATATTAAAACTCATGGTAAAAAAAAAGATACAATGTCCTGTTCTTTTATAGCTCTTTGTTTAATCTAGACAAGACACTGGACACCACATTCATCCATTCATTCATTGATGGTGGTAAACTACATTTTCAGCCATAGCTGAAATTGCTTTTACTAACTCTTTACTCCTGCGACCTGCTGAAAACCAGCACATTGAGGTGTTGACATTGTGATCTCAGATTGTAAAAGTTTTCTAAAATATATTTCATCATTATCTTTGGTGGGAAACTCTGAGTCCACTGAGCCTGTGATCCTTCTAGATCTTGTCGTTGTCATGATTTCAGTAACTTTTCCTTCCACAACACCTACAAATAGAAAACAGGTTCTCAGTTTTAAGTTTAAATAGAATCTCTATAATGTTTTTGTAAAACTGGCTGCAGAATTTGTCCTATTAGCTCTCTGCACTAAGAAGATTCCTTAGAATGTATTTTTATATACATAAGCCTGTTATCTGCAAAAAGTGTACAGCTTTGGGTTGGAAAATGTCAATAGACCTAGCGCCACCAAGTGGTTAAAGCAGATGTCTTCTAAATTGACCCTGGAAAGAATAATATAAACTAGGAGATCCAAACAACATGTTTTTGAGAAGATATTGGAGTTTTGTCTAATTTCTGAGCTCTTCGTCTTCCATATTGTTGTTGTTGCAGTTGGATGACTTGATTCTCCAAAGTAAAGGTTACATGTTGCATCATTTCTCACGATGCATCGTTTCTCACGGATTCAGGCAGGAAGCAAAGGAAAAGCAAAGGAACCACTCAGCTGTGGTTTTAGACCTACAGAAGAAGTAATTTGTGTAAAAAGGGGAATGTAAAATAGGTTATATGTTTTGGCAGTAAACCAGAGCTGATAACTTTTCCCGTTAAACTTTGACAAGTTTTTATAAATAAGACTAACTTTTTCAAAAAATAAAGCAGTCACTTACTTATAGTAATATGGACCGTGTCACTGTCAGGAGATGGAGATTTTCTGTCCCCAATATAATAACATGTCACTTCAACCACACATGATGACTTTTGCTTTGCCATCAGCAGCAGCTCAGTTCCTGTGATTGTCTTCATGCAGGGGAAAGGTGTTAGAGTTCCTCCTTTCACATGGAAATAACACAGATTCACAGAAGGATGAGCTGGAGCCTCGCAGCTTATTGTGACTGAATCTGTTTCTGTGATTGATGATGAATTCACTGTTAGTTTAGCCTGAGGAAGAGCTGAAACAGAGACAGAGGATCAAATACTGATACATCGAGATTAAAACATGTTCAATAGTTAAGCATTCTTTGATCTGAAATTAAAAGAAAAGGTTTTTACTAAACCTTTAAGATATTAGGTAACTTTACGAGCAGTAACACATCTGGACAGAAGAAACATTAAAAACTGACCTTGTATGACTTGCACCTCGTGAAAAGAACCTGTTTGAAAGAAAAATGTAACACAAAACTTATGTATCTATACTGAAAAGCTTTATCTATAAACATAGAATTAACTGGTACATTATAAAGTCAAAATTAAATATTGTTACTTTCAAACAGCATATTATTCTCAGAATAAACTGCACAATTGAAGTGCAAAGCCAGTGAGAACAAACAAAGTTATGTACTGTATGTATTTATATTTATCAGTGGAACTTTACTGATGTTGAGAGAATGCAGGAACATTAACTTACCCAAAAGAATGATAAAAACCAGGCATCCCATCATGGTGAAGGCAGATTTAAGATGTTCATAACCTTTGAGAGAAGATAAGTGTCTGACTGCATGACGAGGAAGATCAGAAGAACTCAAAGATACAACCCACAAATTCGACCGACAGGCAAAAAACAGTTTCACTCCAAAAGCAACATCAAGACAGATTTTAGTGCAAATGGACTCAGAGACAAATACTTTAATTTTTGCTAATATCCCCTGATTGATTATCATGACCATTTGTTACATTTCAATGGTAATGTTAGGCTGAAGGTGTTGACCATTAGGCGTTCTTATCAAAGCATCTTATTTCTCGTTATATTATGAATTAGTGTTTATTAACAAACTATTATTCTTCACTGACAGCGTGTCCAAACACATTTCTTTAGATTTGATAAAATACAAGGCAGTTGGCTTTACACATTGCACAATGTTTTTGTGACAAAGAATCTTCAGAAATTTGATGAAATAGAGACATTAACACAGAAGCAGCGTGACAAAGTTTGATACGATCATTTGCTTTTTCTCTGAGGTGAAGATTGCATTTCATGCTGTGCAGCTGCAAGTGTACAGTGTTCGGTTTTTTTCATTTGTTTGTACACATCAAAGAACCTTCAGTGTAAGCGTCTATGCATGCACACAGATTCACACAGTGAGAGAAAATGTTGGTGTCTTTTCTGGAAGAAAAATCCACAACCTGCCTCTGAAAAGCAAAGTGTTTCTCCTTCATTCATCCCCAAATAAACCACTGTTACCTGGTGTCAGGGTGAGCGTCGCTCACTTCAAGTTTCCACTCAGGAACATCAGCACATCTACAGCCTCAAGGACAAACTGGTTGCACAGGTTAAGTAAAGTTGGCAAATACAATATAAATGTATGTTTGGATTCCAGCTGTGATTTTTAGCCACTTTGTGCAAAATACCTTTCTTCTATGTTCTGTATAAATGTAGAGCAAAATCAACTTTTAATGTCAATAATCAGTCCAGTGTAATTGCAAATAATACCTTTTACTAAATAAAGCATCGAAAGACATTATGAGCACAACTTACCAGTGAAGAAGTACATCATAGACGACAAATAAATCACAAAAAAGAGTGAATTCAAATGGCCTTTTCCAGGTCATCCCAATTAAGGTCTAAAATCTCGCAGTTGTAAAAAACAAAGATGCTGTACAAACTAGAGTTACTTCGTGGCGTCATCAAGTGGTTGATCATAGTTAAATATCTGATCGTGTAGATTTGTTCAATCACAAATTTCAATATAAGGTACATCTGATAGCCTCAATAATGTATTTAAACCACAGCAAAAAAAAAATGCAGTCCAAGTTGTTCAGTAAGAAAAACATAAACTTTTCAACGGCTGCAAATCTGTCTGCTCTGCTTCACATCTAGAAACGTGGTTGTATTTTTATCTTTGTGTAGAAATTTAAGAATGACAAATTCAGTTTTATTGAGATCAAAAACGTAATAGAAAAATTAAACACAAATCCTCAGTTTGTGTCTCACTCTAAGAGAGAAAGCACTCCAGCTTCCCACACAGGTGTGTGTGTGTCAGGGTGAGACTCACACACTCTGTGTGAGCCACCAAACAACTACATAGTTTGGTGTTTAATATTTTTATCAGCTTTCGTGTCTCACCCTGACACACACATTCTTTCTCACAGGAAAGGCACCCTGACCATTTCTAACACCCGCCTGCCGATCGAAATGGAAAAAATTATGTGCGATCCGCTTTGCATGAAATGCAGTGCAGTTCTGCAAAAAGCATGTGATGTAGGCTCCATATTTACAGCAATAAGGAACAAAAGCAGGACTTAATTTGAGTCACTTCCTGTGGCAACAGGATCCAGGAACTTTTATTTGACGGTGCGTTCCAGTAACAGCTTTCTTGTATCCAGTAAGTCTAAAGGTAACTAATAGTAAAGTCATGAACAGATTTCACTCCCCGTATGTAATGTCCAAATAATTGCTCAAAATATATTTTTTAATCTTAACATCCACTTAAGAGTTTCTTAATATCATCTAAATTATCAGTCTGCAAATTACTTATTGAGAAAAATTCACCAATTCATATAAAAATGTGTATTAAAATGTTTAATACATCTTTTTTTCTTTCATTATGGAGCATCTTTATGCAATGTAGTTTGACTTTTTTCCTTCACAGTGTTTTAACTTCTGTTAAATTTCTCCATTTCTGTTCAGATAAAATCCAAAACACATAAAAAAAAGTAAAACATCAATTTGAGTTGAAGATAAAATGGAAACATTGATTGTGACGCTTAAAATAAGAATAAAACATTATGAAATGAAAGACAAACAGCATTTATCCACCCTTGGTAAGATGAACAATGTGAATTTTCTGAAACACTTTCTCCATTTCACTTTTTGACTTTTTCAGCTTCAGAAAAGCGCTCTCAGGAAAACCGCCGCTCTGCAGCGACTCGCACGCCGGCCACAGCATCACAGGATGATATACTAGGTAAAAGTTTAATATTCAAATCGCCTCTGCTCTTTGTGCTGACTGTCGAGTTCAGAATATGTACAAGGTCATTCTTTGTTTTTCAAAAACATTTGTATCCTAAACATTTTGGCTGAAATCACATTGTTTGGTTTTTTTCACATATTTATCTACAATGTAAAGAAACAGCTCAACACACCAGTTTATGAAGCTCCTGAAGTTCAACAATAACAGCAGCGTTTGGTCTGATCCAGGACAGCGAAGCGTCCAGACGGCAGGTGAGTCGGCCGGTGTGATCAGAACCACCTGGAGCCGAACTCGCTCCAGGATGTGGAGGTGATGGTGGATTCCTGCAGGTCGCTCCCTCCCAAACAACACTGTATGCTTTGGATCACCTCCATTATATTACAGCCTTTGAAACTTAAAAAAAAATCTTTTATAAGCCTCTTATAAGCTTATAATACAAGCTTGTTTGGCATATTTCTTGTTAAACTTTTAACTAGAATCAAACACGTCTGATGTACAGAGAAACACACAAGTACAAAGGAGTTCTGAGTAAAACAGTTTTCATAAATTATTTAAATTAAAAACGATAAACTTTGTAAAAAATGTGTCGACTAAAAATATTGATAGTGACCTCATCAATCACACAGTTAAATCTACTTGTTATGTTTGAGATGAGAGAGTAAAATACGTTTTTTTTTTCTCTGATCTGCTGGGATGAAGATCCAAATCTTTAACAAGTTCTGTTTGTTCATCGGGTTTCTATAACAAAAGTCTTTTGCAGAACATCACATCAGCACAAAATGGCGTTATTAACTAATGATTATCTTCAGGGAGTTTGTTTTTTTTCTCCATGAAAATGTGTCTCAGTGCTTCTGCAGGAGGCAGTACTCTCCGTCATCCTTGGTTGATGGAGGAGGTAAATCAGGGATGGTGCTGTACACGTGGTAGACGTCAGACTGGAAAATAAAAACAGCAGCTGTGAGAAACACTTACATTTACAACAATTCCTGCCAAGACCAACAAGCATCGTTTCTGGAGAAAATTGTCTCACATCTTCAGTTTGTGGTTTTCTGGTGGCAGATTTCCCAGGACCTGAAAATAAGGAAGAATAACCAACATGAGTCAATATCCGGTTTGACTCTTTATTTTTTGTGTGAATCCATTACTTCTGCAAATTGAGACAGTATAAATTATATATATTTATTTCAAGATCAGTCGTTGGATGAATGTATTAAATATTTTTAAAATATCACTAAGCAGTAAAAAATAATAATCACATATTTAGGGTTAAACGAAAGCATTTACATAAACCTTAAAAAACTAACCTTACAGTTATATTTCCCAATTATGAAACGTTTTATTGTTGATGTATTTTTAGATGAATTTCAAGTGGGCGCAGAAATAAATAAACTCACCTGTAGGATGATCAGCAGCAGGTGTGGATGGGATGACGCTGTAGATGCCATCTTTATCTAGTGGTAACTTTAAATATGAGGAAAAGAGAAAATGAAGAGAAAATAATCCAAGCGAGATAATACACGTCATAAAATATATTTTATTTACCATCTCTGTGTTATCAGTCGTTTTCATCCACATATTCTGATCTGCAACATAAATTAAATATAATTTATTATAAAAGAACAACAAATATTGGTGTTTCAGTACAAATATATTATTACCTTTAAGGTTGGCTTCTTTTCTGCAGAAACATGAACAAAAACAGATTTATTTAGAGAGTGTGTGCATTACATTCGGCAGAAAAACAAAATATGATGTAAACGAAAGTATATTCCTACTAAGCAAGCATTTCAGCAAAAACAAAGAAGAAACCCTTTTGATTTATGAGATTAAATTTGAATTAAAGATAAAATCTTTCACAAATTTAAAGAGAAGAACAGAACAAATAAAACCTAGTAAACCTTCATGACTTGATGGCCAAAGGTAGATAATCTAATAACTTTATTTTGTCTCTGAACTAAATGACATTATAATCACCATCAAGGTAAAAACATCTTGCATTAACAGAAATTATTACTATTGTGATTTTCATTGAAATAATAGAATCTCCTCCTCAATAAAAACATAATTTAACCTATAATATATGTTACTAAATTACATCATAGGTAAAGAGAATGTTGAATAAATCTCCTTATTTCCCACTGCCCCCCAAAATGTCTGTATGTTAATCATTTAAATGCAATATTTAAAGTTTCATTTAAACAACATGCATGAAACTTTTTTCACCATTTAACAAATTCATGCCCAGCTGTCAGTGAGCGTTCATTTATGAGAACCTGGCGAGAACGAGAAAGTCTTACCTGTTGAGCAATCCTTTTCCTGAGAAACAGGAAACAGATTGAGTCACATGATTTGTTGTACTTATTAGCAATTCACACTCTATGACTTATGGCTTATACTTATGTTTCATCTCTAAATTAATGTCTAAAACCTTTGTATTCACTGCATAAAACCAGAAACCTTGCATGCCCCTGCTATAAATAGTTAGTTGACATTTAAAAATAACTCCTGAAAACTATCCACATCCTTCTTTCAAGCAGTCACGGTAGCAGGAAGTGGTCAGATTTTCTTGAAAGTTCGTTTATAAACACATCTGAGTGTCCTGGGTGTTTGTTTCTCACCAGTTCTTTTTTTGGCTACGAGACACGCTGCCACCACCAGAATGAAGACCACAGTCACTCCTCCCACCATTGCTGCAATTATCAACGTCCTTGTGTCTGTTTTAAAGGTCATAAACAAGTTTCACTTCAGATAAATTCAGGCTTCATATCTCAAAAATCTGTCTTCTAAAATTTAATTATTAGGATGTATATACTAAATAATTCTAATTTAATTATTCAGTATTTAATAGGAGCAAAAATACTGTATGGATTTTAATTAATGGTTTAATTTGAAAAACAGTGTTTTTTTGGACTTTAATGCAAAGTGATGCATTCAGCGGAAACATTTAGAAACTTCAAGATTCATCTTTAGAATCTAGTGGTTAGAGTTCAGCTAAAACTGACCACTTTAGTGTTCAGCTAAAACTGACCACTTTAGCGTTCAGCTAAAACTGACCACTTTAGCGTTCAGCTAAACACTGACCGCTTTAGAGTTCAGCTAAAACTGACCGCTTTAGAGTTCAGCTAAAACTGACCGCTTTAGAGTTCAGGTAAAACTGACCTCTTTAGTGTTCAGCTAAAACTGACCACTTTAGTGTTCAGCTAAAACTGACCACCTTAGTTTAAATATTTTGCTGCAGGATGCACAATATCAAACAACTGTTTTTTAAAAATATAAAACAGTTAAATAACAGATGATCAAAACACTGACACTGAAATCGGAGACTCACCTATACCTTTGAATATATTATCCATATTTTTCTTTGTCGTTCCTTGAGATGTGGAAGTAACAGCTGAAGAAGCTAAAACAAACATGAAATGAAATAAATGTTTTAATGAAATATACATAATGTTTGTTTTGTGCCAACATTTTATGAATAGACATGTCTTTCTATTTTGCAACTTTATGGGGAACAAAACAGTTATTTGGTCCATCAAATGTCCTACTTAGAATATAAAGTTCTTACTTCCTTACATTAAATCAGACTATGCTTTTACTGCTTTTGTTGAGAACATCAGACTTATTTCTGGTAAGTTAATAGCTAAGTTAATATTTATATTATTCTGACTGAATCTCAGAGTAAAATAAAGTGTTTTTAATTACCTTCATCAAATTCAAAAGTTTCATACAAAGAGAACTGCTACAAGTCTTATTCATTCCTTATTACAATTTCCAGAGCTGAAGGTGCCTCATTCATTTGTTTATAAACAACATATGAATGTCCAGGCATCATACAGTCCAGGAAGGAGACGGGTTTTGTGTTTTCGTGCAAAATATATGAGGCCTTGAGCATTTCCATCTTTTGATGCAGTTTCAGCTTCAAGACTGTTGATGTGTTTCTACCAGCTTTGCACATTTAAACACTGAAATTTTCATTTATTCTTCATCGTTAAGCAGCTCCAACCCAAACAGACTGAATGGAAAGCATCTGTGATCATGTAAAGTAAAACTGTGAAGGTATGAAATATAATGTGTCCAATCGGACCAGTTAGGTCTGGTTTTGTCCCAGTGCATCATGAGAAAACAATATGGTGCCTGACCAGAGCAACTTCCTCCACACTGTGTCATTTTCCCTCCATGGTTTGTAGTAAACAGTAAATCACCCTGTGGCATCTAGTTAGTGTAGCCAAGGCTACTGGTTGCACCATATTTTATTTAAGGGCATCAGTAAATTGGGGACTAAATAGAAATGCACTGTCATGTATTGTTTTCCTTCCTGTTCACAATCCTGAACCACTTTGTGTTGATATTATTTATTTTGTACCATAGAGGAGGCAGTTCAGACCTTTTTGTCAGAGTAAAATGCAACAACAAAAAAATCAAATGACATAAAAAGCATTTTTTACACATATTTTCAGACTATAATCTGAATTTCATTCTGATTAATACAATAATAGATTTTCCTACCGGATGTAGAAGTGGTCTTACTCTTTGTTGGCTCTGTGCCTAAACATAAAAAACATGAAGCCATCACAACGTTCTGGGTCTCTGCTGTTATTCTCATACCAGTGGTGAAAACTGCAATAGTTGTTGGAGTGACTGATTCTACTGGGGAACTAAAAGGAAGTAGATTTGTGAAACTATTGGATCTAAACTTATCTGAACTAATTTTCAAGAAGCAGTATTAATGTGAGATTTTAAAAATAATTATCAAAGCAGATTGAATATCAGTAGTGCTGTTGGAGATCTCAAGCAGGTAACTAAGCAATATGTTAGAAAATGACAGTATTACTGATATTAAACATGAAAAGTAATGAAGGAGATTGAAAATGCAGGTAAGTGTTGAAAGATTTTAGGTAGAAATAACACAATTGTAAATGTTGTAAAACCAACACACTGAGATGTTGACATCATTTCAGAGACAGCAAAGCAATAATCTTTTTCTATGTCATCTTTACCGTGGCTGGGCAAAACATCATCTGATGAACCTTTGGTCGTCGTAAATCTTGTTGGTATTTTGCTGGTCGTCGTTAATTCTCCTCCCACTTTACCTAAAATTAGAAAACAGATTCTCAGTCAGTCAAATAAATAGATAGAAGTTACACCAGACAGACATAACATTATTAGCACAGACAGGTAGAGAAAATAAAAGAGATTTTTTTTTTTTTTCTGCACCTGTTGGGATATTTTAGACAGCAAGTAAACATTTGTTTGTGATTTTATCTCAATACGACTGAAGCTAAAAGTGCATCCCCTTAAATGTTTATTTGTTGTTAATCTAATGGATAATTTCTGAACTGTATTTATTCACACAGCTATTTTTTATATATATATTCTGTGTTGTGTTTTTATTGTTATTTTACACCAGTGTACATTAAACAACCAGAGTAACTAGAGCAGTCCAGAGTAAATAATCTGGTGGATTTTCAAAGGATTTTTAGCAGACTACAACACTGAAGGGCATTTGATGCAGTAAAACAGGTTTGACAAATGGAGAAAACTTGTATTTCAATGATTCCTATAACTTCTGGAGCACTATGTAGTTATTTGGTGACTTTTCTTTTTCCCACTAGGCCCCTGATCTTAGATTAAGCTGTTTAAAAGTTGCTTGATTGTTTACTCCTGTAACCTGCTGAAAGCTAGAACATTGGGATGCTGATATTATGACCTCAGTAGAGATAATAAAACAACAACATTTTTCTAAAACATATTTCATCTTTACCCTGGATGGGAGCAACAGCTTTCGATGAACCTGTGGTCTCCGTAGATATTGCTGGTGTTGTGCTGATCTCAGGTAAATCTACTTCCACAATACCTAAAATTAGAAAACAGATTTTCATTCAGTTTCAAGTGGAGCTAAATGATGAATCATTAGGATGCAGCTCATTCAAGGATTATTTGGATTTCTTGTAAAGATTATAATAAATACACAAACAGGGCACAGTATTAAAACAAGGGAACAAGAAGGATAAATTCTTCATCATTGCAACTTTTCCAGGTATGATATGCAGATGAAACCAGAAGTTTACCTATGTTAAATAAAAACACATAAAACCTTTTTGTCTCACTGTCTGAATCAAATCAGACCAAAGTTTTCTTGTTTTAGGTCAGCACTGTGTTCCAGGTGTAGCTTTAAATTACATCCACAGGTGAACCTCCAATTAACTCAAATATGTTCAGTAACCAATCAGAAACTTCCATAGACATGACATCATCATCTGAGTTTTCCTCATTGTTTAAAGTGATAGTAATAATTCCGTCTATAAACTTATGATGATTTAATAAATAAATCTCTGACATATTCTCTCATTACTGTGACATTTAACAAATATAAATAATTTTGGTATTCATACCTGATCTGAAATGAGAGACGTTTGCTTTACTAGGCAGCAAGAGATCATTTTGTCCTCTAACTTGATGTGTTTGTAGCACATAAAGTTGGAAAGAAACAGAATTTAAATAAATTTGGCAAGGACCAAATAACTATGTCTAGATTTCTGCTTCAAAACATCTACAAAGCTGCAGGTCTTGTTGCGAGTTTACAGGTTTAGATGGACTAGTCTGTATTAAAATTGGAAAAAGCAGCAGTAATGACCTGGGTCAGGAGTGGCCATGTCTTCACATGAGTGATGGCTGGCCCTGTGGTCTGATCAAACAGATGAGTTACTGTAGCTCAAACAGCTGTAGATTAATGATTGTTGTGATATATGGCTGTCGGAAAAACACACCAGCTTGTGGTAAGGGTTAGCTACTTCAGAAGCCTGTTAAAAATCAAAAATGATTCAGGAATGGTTGAAGGAGCAAAACTAAAAAAATCTGAGGTGAGGATTCGTCTCCAGACTCAGCGGATCTCAGTCTATGGAGGCTCAACCTCACATCTTACAGGACTTAAATCATCTTATGACTACATCTTGGTGCCAGATACAACACCAAACCTTTGAGGGTCCAGAGAAGTCCATAACTTAATTAAAAACAACAGGGATTTATGAAAAAAGTGCATACATTTTAGAGTATTTACTGTATTCATGTTTGACTCACCTGTCAATCTGTATGGGTCACTACGAGGTGACAAAGATTTCCCATCTCTTTCCAAACTATAATCACAGCTGACCTCCTTCTGCTTAACCAAACGTAGACGCCTCAGTAATTCATTTTCTTGAATTTCAGTCCAGCAGAACCACAGATTGGTTCTTGTTTTGGTCTTTGATATTGTTGTTGTTGCTGCTGGACGATTTGATTCTCCAAAGTACAGATTACATGTTGTATCATGTTTCACAGATCCAGGCAGAGAGCAGGTGAAGAAAGCAAACTGGCCCTTAACATAGTTTACACTCAGTTGTGGCTTCAGACCTAAAGAAGAAGTAATTAGTGTCAAAAGGCAAAGAAAAATATGTTAAATGTTGTGACATTGAAATATAATTTATTATTTGAATCCAACTATTAAATCTGAGTTTCTTAACTTTTCCTGTTAAACTTTGACAAGTTTTATGAATAAACCTAAACGTGAACCCGTCCATGAATGAAGCAACAACTTACTTATGGTTATATAGGATCTTTCGCTGTGGGGAGATGGAGAATTTACAGCTCCATATTTTACAGTATAGAAACATCTCACTTCAACCACAGAGGATAAACTTTGCTTCGTCTTCAGCAGCAGCTCAGTTCCTGTGATTGTCTTCATGCAGGAGGAGGCTCCCATAGTTTCTTCATTCACATAGAAATAACATTCATGCACAGAAACACGAGCTGGAGCCTCACAGCTTAATGTGACTGAATCTGTTTCTGTGATTAATGATGAATTCACTGTTAGTTTAGCCTGAAGAAGAGCTGAAACAGAGGATCAAATGTTCAGTTGTTACATCAACAACATGACCTTGATAAGAAATTATTCTTTAATCTGTAATAAAGGGAAACATGTTGGATTGGATTTAACTGTTCATGAGAACTAAAACAAGCATAAGAATAGATAAATAAATCAATGCTCAGTAACAATTAAAATAGTCAATCAACTACAGAGGGTAATGTCAACATATCATGTTCGAAATGGAGTATGGACGTTTCAAAATGAGGATTTTTTTTGTTTGTTTTTTTTTCACTATACCTTAAATAAGGTATAGTCATAAAGGTAGATATTAAATCGCTAAAAAAAAGTAATAACACAGCTGGACAAAAGAAACATCAAAAACTGACCTTGTACTTGCAACTCTTGAAAGGAACCTGTTTGAAAAAAAGCTTATTAAAATACTTATTTAAATAAAGTGAAAGAATGTAAACATATACTGAACTGGAGCATTTTAAAGTCAGGATAGAAAAGACCAATTTGTACAAATATTTTCATTTGCAAACCACAGAATCGACCTATCAATCAGTCAATCAATCAAATGTTATTTGTATAGCATATTTCAGCAGCAAGGCATTTCAAGGTGCTTTACATAATAAAAAAAACAGCATGTGACATTGAATAAACAGTAAGAAAGAGAAAGAGTTTTTGAAAAAAAAATAAAAAAGATTAAAAATGATAAAAACATTAAAACCCGCACCCCTTTTAGGACTTCAGTTAAACGTCGTTTAACTGGGATTCTAGTTAAACAATGTTTAACTAGAATCCCAGGGATTTTAGAGTATTTACTGTATTTACTTGGTTAGGGTTAGGGTTTTAACCTACACAACTACAGTATTCAGCCCATATAACACAATCAAATTAAGTGTTGTGCATATCTATATTTATTAGTAAAAACTCACATTAATGTTGAGAGAATGTAGAAAATTAACTTACCCAAAAGAACAATAAAAACCAGACGTCCTAACATGGTGAAGCCAGACTTAAACTGATCAAAACCCTGCAGAGAAGATAAGTGTCTGTCTGCATGGAGGTGGGTGTCTTATTCTGCTCAATAGTTGCAGGAAAACCACAGAGTATCAACATGACTCAATGGTACAACCCACAATCACACACAACTTGTTCAACCTTTAATAAGCTCCAGTCTAAATGTTCAGGGTCTCTTATGTTTCCTTACATATGTACAAAGTATCTTCACTTTTACTTTCTTAACGTATTTCTCATCTACACAGTAACTCTGTTTCATGTTCTTCAAAGTTGCCATTGTTCCTGAGTTTAACTGAGACATAACCACCTCCCACGTTGCCATGGTGATCATGCATGTTCACAGTCTGCTGTAATTAACCCCACCGTGACACCAACCACAGCTGACAGTGGAGAAAGTCGGTTGACTCTTAATTATTATTTTTGTTAAGGCTGAGTTGATTATTAATACACATTTCTTATTCAATTAAGGGCAAAATTATTCATACACCAAACCTGGGTTGAATGTCGTGTTTTAATTTTAGTAAGACATTTATTTATGCATAAAGCAATATTAAGGTCAGAGTCCTGCCTCGAACATGAGAGAGGATCAGTAGAGGGAGCTAAAGATTAGGGTGATGGCAAAGAGGCGTTCTAGTCACAAAGACTAATCATTAAAACACCGGTAATTATCACAAGTATTGATTCCTGTAATAAAGAGTTTTCTGTTGATTAATGAGTATTAAATAAATTATTTCCAACACAACATTTTTAACAAGTAACTAAAAACAAACTTTTACTTTTTCTAACTTTCTGCTCATTTTATTTTACTTCCTAATAATTTTAGGAATGTCTGACTCTTCAGAAATAATGTTTTAATTTAGTAGGATTCATTTTAAATCTTGCAGTAATGTGAATAATTTGGGGGTATTGATGTAGCTTTCAACCTGCTGCTTTCAGAGGTCAACCAGCTAGTAGAGTCCATCAGTGTGTATTATATGATCTCAGTATAAATTCAACTTTTCCCTCAATATCTCAGGTTTATTATAAATCAGTAATAAACAAACAGCATCAGGTGAAGGAGAATCTGTATCGTCTGGAAATGGAAAGAGAGCAGCACGGCTACCAAGACACAGCTGTCCAAAACTGACATGATGGAAAAGAAGCACATTACTCCGATGAGCAGCCAAAAGGCTCATAATGACTCTGGATGAGCTGCAAATACCTACAGCTCAATTAGAGAAACATTTTGACATGATAATTATTAGTTGTACACTCCACAAGTCAGACTTTTGCAGAACATAAGAGAGCCT